TTCAAAAGTACTATTGTATTTCTAAGTATATTTAGAAAAAAAAAGAACAAACCTAATAAAATAAGGCATAACGTCAAAAGAAGGAACATTTATAACTGTATGAAACCGGTTTCTAAACCTTGGCAATAAAAATTGCAAGTTGCAGGTTTATCACTATTTAAAAATTCTTTTCGTAATACTAACAAGTGTTTATATATGTTGCAGTCAAAACTCTTAACCAGTCGAAAGTACTATTGACTAGCAAAATCAGTCAAAAGTACTTTTAACCGTATGCTTTAATCAATAATACTTTTGACTGAAATAACAGTTAAAAGTACCTAACCTAACCGCAAATTTACAGTTAAAAGTACTAACTAGTGTCCGACCGAACTTTCGGTTTCGGTTTCGGCTAGTTTCGGCCTTAGTTTCGGTTTCGGCCAAAAATTTGGCGAAACTTTCGACCGCGCCGAAATTGTGTTTGTGTTGTGTGTGTCTAACTGAAAGATTTTTTTAAGTTTACTTCCAAGAGTAAGTCATAATTTAAACATGTTTTTACATATAAATATATATGTCTTATTTGTTACATGCTTTAAATATTGTTTATTATTACCCTTTAACTATGTGTGTGTTTGTGTAAATAATTGTTTAAAAAATACACTAGATTTCAGTATAGAAAAGAAATTTGAAATATGTCTCTCTCTCTAAGTTTCAGATTTGGTTTCGGTCGAAACTGAGACCAAGGCCGAAAGTTCGGTTTCGGTTTCGGCTGTAAAACCTGTTTCGGTCGGACACTAGTACTAATAACCAATAATTTTTAGTCAAAACGACTTTTGACCAACTTGATTTTGCTAGTCAACAGTGCTTTTGACTGGTTAAGAGACTGCAACATATATATGTATGATGTCATACATATCACATGCTTAGCTTTTAGAAGTATTATGCATCTCACATTAGAAACTCTACCTACGGGCTTTGAAAACATGAGGTAACGTTAGTGGCTCCTAATAATACTATAGCAGGGGTGGCCAACCGGTCGATCGACCGATCGATCGATTACGACTATTAGTCCAGTCGATCGTGGCAAGGCTAAAAAATATAATACGTACGTAGAGTACGTGCCAGCGCCAACAGGATCCTGAGTATGATAGCGAGCAGGACTGTGTGTACTTTAATCACTGCTGCGCAATTTCCAATGGAATTGTACAGCGGTGATTATCTGTATACTATTTAATATATTATGTGTGTGTGTACGTGTATATGTGTGTGTGTGTGTGTGTGTGTATTGTGTATGTAAATTTACTAACATTAGTTTTAAGAATGTTATTACCAATAAATATTCCTTTTTTTTTATACAACTTAGAATGGCAAACAAGCTAATGGCCCACCTGTGGAAAGTGGTAACCGTCGCCTATAGACATGAGCAGTACCATGGACATAACAGAGTATACTGTTTCGCCCATGATACCCCCCATGTGTTGCTATTCCTCAGGACTCAGGTGTTTTTACTCTGTACCCAGTAAATTCACGCCATATCTCACCCTTCAAACCGAAACACAGCCACGCAAACACAACTGCTTCACGGTTGAAACACGAATCGGACAGAGGTACCCAAGCAAACGACTTTTGTACAGTCTCCCTCTGGTATAAAAAAAAAGTATGTAATTGGTAGATCGCATTGGGTATCGCTAGTAAACAGTAGATCTTGGATCTGGTCAAGTCAACCACCCCTGCAACTATACGATCAACAAAATTCTCTCGCTGACTACAGCTGTGACTATGGTATGCCGGATTTTGCATTAGACATACAGCGTGTTGCGGTGTAAGCGTAGGTAACGCACGGCAAGCTAGCACGGCTCAAGCCACAAGCTGTCGGCGTACAGAGACGCGGACAAACTGGGGACGGACCTGGCTTGCGGGCAGGCTCTCGGACGCGGGCGGCGCGCGGTAGTGCGCGTGCGCCGGCGACATCGACGCGGGCGCCTGCTTGTCCACCAGTACCGTTTATAAACCGGTATATTATTCGTGATATTATCGGTAAATTAACCGGTACATATTACCGGTAAATAATGTAAATATAGGTCACACTCGTACATAGGAATAGTAGCATAAAATTATGTAAGTATATAACTGTATAAAATATTGTACATATAAAAAAAATACAATTTCATTACATGTTTTTTTATACAACTTAGAATGGCAAACAAGCTGACGGCCCACCTGATGGAAAGTGGTAACCGTCGCCTATAGACATGAGCAGTACCGTGGACATAACAGAGTACACTGTTTCGCCCATGATACCCCCCATGCGTTGCCATTCCTGAGGACTCAGGTGTTATTCCTCTGTACCCAGTAAATTCACAGCCATATGCCCACCCTTCAAACCGAAACACAGCCATGCAAACACAACTGCTTCACGGTTGAAACACTAATAGGACAGAGGTACACAAGCAATCGACTTTTGTACAAAGTCTCCCTCTGGAAATAAACTTTTAATAAACATATCTCTTATTATAAACATAATATTTATTAAACAACAGTTTTTACAATATTAATAGCTTTAAATATATCATATTTATTTTCTATATATATTATGAATATGAACAGGTTTGTTCGGTTATGTTAACCGGTTAATTACGGTAATAATGCATAACCGGTTTTATTTGCTGGTAAAATCTTTAGTGTATTTAATTTACATATAAAAGGATATATCGTCATAGTCGTAGAATACTGACGGATCTTTATATGTAATACTTGTCAGATCCGTCAGTATTCTACGACTATGACGATATTGGAGAGATAATATTACAATGGTGGATGCGTTGAGAAATTTATTATAATATGCGATTTACATACAACAGAAAGAGTCGGCGTGTGTCGGAGAGTATTTTATAATGTGGTAAATGTAATTTAATATTGTCATGAAATATAAATACCTATGTAATTTTCACAATTCAATCACAGTGATTTCGCTGAAAGCAATTGAATACGCGCGCATTCAGCGGAAAAAATGGATACACGCGCGGATTGCGCATTTTTGTATTTATTTTTTTCTAATGGACGCGGTCGGCTTTCGGTAGATATTCGTACGTATATATACTTCAAATGTAGTTCATTTTATTTTTGAATAAAAAGTGCGTAAATCCGTCCGATCCACTTCCAACACGCGTCGACTTCGGTTGATATAGACAACAATATATACATATATCGCTAAATATTGGTAGAGTGTATATTTATTTATGTATTTATTAAGCAATATCACAAATATAATAAGTAGTTATTTTATAAAAAAAAAAACACGAAAAATACCTTAGCATCGCTCCAACGAGAACAGGAGTACGTACCGTTCTTTCAAGTATACTAATATATATTTACAAGTTTGTGTCAAATTTTATACATATATGAAAGGTGTGTGTCAACTAGTTTCTGTGTAACGTGACACGGGTGTTATGGCAACACTGACGCGCATGCGTTAACTATGTAACAGATTCGGATCGGTCAGGGCGCACATGCTTGTATGCTTGTACTGCACTTTACTGTTTTTGTCAATGTCATTAAAAACATAAATGTGAAAATAAGAGCCAAGTTCAATATTACAAGTATGCGTCATTTCGATTCCGTCGAAAAAAGAATTCGAGATCTATATAGGTGGCTACATATTTTTAGTACCATCGAAATATTAGCGTGAAATGTGTTTAAGTTTATTTCTAATTTGGACAAGTCGGGGACTTGATTTAACTTGGATATAGCATCCGGACTTAGCAATATAGCATCAGGGTGAATTCAGCAGGTATAAAACCTAATAACCTACACAGTTTTAACTGTAAGACACAATATAAGAAACAAAATTTTACATTTATATTCACCTATTTTCAGACTTATCTTTGTTATTTCTTTTTTGATACTTCTTATCAATAATTTTTATTTTTTAGATTTTTTCCTTTTTATAAACCTAATAGTGTACTTTGATGTCAAATATCAAGTTTCTAGGTCTGGAAGGTGATAAAAATGCCGATTTTTAAACGTTAATATATTAAAACATATTTGAACAACATTTATAATATTAAAGATTTTAGACAAGCTAAGAGCCTTCAATAACTATGTGAAATTTTATGTATTTATGTTGGTTAAATAGCTTTCGATTTGTGGTGGAGTCAAAAGTAGTTCGAAATGGTTCGTGTAATACACTCGGCTGCTGCATCGCCGGTTCCTGTTTCTTTAATCCCTCAAGCATGCATCATACGCTGTACCGAATAAAAATGTAACCGTGCGCTAATGCAACAACGTCTGTTGCATAACACAAATTTGTAGCGTTTCATTAGATTTATGTAGGTAATAAACCTATTTATTTAAACTCATAACCTATAATCAAAATTTGATCATGTCAAAAATCGGTGATGCAGTGGGTGTAGCCAGCTAGCCTAGAACCGATCGCTCCACGGGTTAACTTGGCTGGACACACTGCCACTGTGTAGATGTTAATTGTAATTTACATGGAAATACAGCAATTTAAATTTGGAAAGTACCTGTTGTATGTTCGTGTGTGTGTGTGTGCGCGCGCGTGTGTGGCGGGCGGGCGACTCACCGTGTGGTACTTGTGGTGGGGCGCGAGGTGCGCGTGCGCGTGCTGGTGCGGGTGCAGGTGCGCGTGCGCGCGCGACGGCGACGCGGCCAGCGGCGGCGACTCGCCGCGCCGCGACACCACGTTCATGTGCTCGTAGCTGCCCACCTGCCACACCGCACCCACCCTCACTACCGCCGCCCCACGCGACACCCGCGACGTCCGCGACGTCCGCGCCCAGCGCGCCGACCTCAACCGCGCAACCGCCACAATACAAACATTACCCGATGGAAATGTAAAAAACCGGTCAAGCATGAAACCGATTTACACTTTTATAACGAATATATCTAAAAACCGGTATTAAACTATTTTTAATGCTTGTATCCAGAAAATAAAACACAATCCATGTGATCACATATTGTTAAAGTAAAAATTAAATTTAGCTAACCGTAAAATTACGGTTTTTAATTTTTTTTATATATAATTTAATTTGGAACAAGTAATTTAATTAGACTCTCATAATAATAGAACAGCAATGCAATAGACGCGACACATTTCAAGTACGCTAGTATAGATCTACTGAGAATGTACTGTGGCGGTCCGTGACGTCGGCGCGCTAGCAAGATTAGTTCCCGCTACCATAAGCTAACTCAGAGAGAGGGCAAATTAGTAATCTAATAAAAAAATACTAAATCTTTTCATCCACAGAATACACTATTTTAGTAGTGTATATCTTAGATTTCCATGGATATATTTGTACAGGCAAAGTCAGAGGCAACAACTAGTATTAGTTTACGTATTACATATTTATATATAATTTATATACAAAAGCTATAAACGTAATCAAAGTTAGTCATAATACGTTCTAAATTACCAATAACCCTTCTTTGCATGATTTTTTTATTAGAGAAATAAATCAAGGTGACATAATTCATGTTCAAAATAATTAAAAGAAAAAAGGTTAAAAAAAATAAATTTAACAGCTTTGTTTTTTTTTCTGCAATGGACATTAAAAAGGTATCCAGACACGGTCAACTTAGAGTGAACTTGTTCTTTTATATAATTTTTGGGCATTCAATGTTATGATGGAAATTTCCACCACTATGCAAAGAAGGGTTAACTATACAATACTGAATGGGTTATAAATTAGTAGGGGGGGGGGACTTTACAAAAAGACTTTACACCTCTATCTCTGTTTACAATGACAAAGTAGTCGTACCCTGGACTCGAGCTCCTCGGCCCTGGCCTCGGTGCTCTGCTTCTCCTCCTGTATGAGCCTGATCTCCGTGTTGATGGCGTCGAGCTGCTCCTGCAGCATCAGCGCCAGCGCGGCGGCATCCGTGTGCCCGCCCTCCACACCGCCTTCCGACTCGTCGTTCTAGTAAACAAATAACAGATGGTAAGTTCTTTTATACCACAAAGATAGCAAGCAAGCATACAGCCAGTCTGATGGTAAACGGTCACCGTAGCCTACGAACGCCTGTAACACTAGTGTGTGCACGTTGCTGACCATGAAGCAACCTTAACATACCTTTTTTGAAGAACCTCATGCTGTAGTCTCTAAGGGAAACCTAGGCAGGGAGCTCATTCGACAGCCTGAGCATTCACAGGAGATAGTTCCTTTGAAACTGCATTAAAATAGGGGGAAGGGATTGTTAGTAATGGGGATTAGCAACCCTATTGCTAGCAATTTACCCTATCAGGTTGCCTCCCTCGCGGTTTTTTTTACAACGCAGGGGGCAAACGAGCTTGCGGCTCACCTGATGGTAAGTGACTACCGCCGCCCATGGTCACCCACAACACCAACGGTATTGCAGGTGTGCTGCCGGCCTTTTAAAAAGGAATATACTCTTTTCTTGAAGGTTATGTTGTAGTATCGGTTCGGTTATTCGGTTTCCCCTGGAAACCATCGTGATTGGTTCATTGTTGAATTTGTCACGGTGGGCTAACTGACCTGCTTCCTCCTCACCTATCATCCCTCACTGGTGCCCCGCCGGTGTATACCGATAGTGCAGGCGGGACTTCCATTCCATTATCATCCATTAAAAAAAAACTGTACAATAATGGTAGTGGTATGTAGAAGGAAACAAATCTGACAATACTTTCTACCGTGAAGCACTTGTATTTGCATGGGTGTGTTTCGGTTTGAAGGGTGGGATATGGCATGAATTTATTGGGTACAGAAGAACAACACCTGAGTCCTCAGGAATGGCAACGCATGAGGGGTATCATGGGCGAAACAGTATACTCTGTTATGTCCATGGTACTGCTCATGTCTATAGGCGACGGTTACCACTTTCCATCGGGTGGGCCGTCAGCTTATTTGCCATTCTAAGTTGTATAAAAGAAAACTGACCTCAGCGTCACTGGACACATCGAACGGTTGTTGTACGTTAGCCATAGCGTGCGCCTGCTGCAGCTTCTCCCACGAACCGTCCAACTGGAATGTAACAAATAATAGTAATCGATACATATAATAAAATAGTAACTGGTCGCCGTCTGTACATGGAAGATATATAAGAAAAACTACTACAGGGAGGCTTTATCAACGCAATAGAAACCAAAATAACGATTTTTAGAATTTTTCTCTGTTTGTCTGTACGTTTGTGATCTCTGAAACGGCTTTCATTAATGCGTTGCAGTTTGTTCCGTTTAACATTTAACTTTTGTTTTATTTCAATCGGTCCATAAATAAAAAAAAAAAGAAACTTATATCAATCTTAAGAATCACGTATTAAAATGCTATAAAATAAATGGCTGAAACTTTTTTTTATTATATTTGTACAAAAGTCGATTGCTTGTGTACCTCTGTCCAATTCGTGTTTCTACCGTGAAGTAGTTGTCATTGTATGGCTGTGTTTCGGTTTGAAGGATGGGATATGGCGTGAATTTACAGGGTACAGAGGAATAACACCCGAGTCCTCAGAAATGGCAACGCATGGGGGGTATCATGGACGAAACAGTATACTCTGTTATGTCCATGGTACTGCTCATGTGTATAGGCGACGGTTACGACTTTCCATCAGGTGGGCCGTCAACTTGATTGCCATTCTAATTAGTATAAAAAAAAATGAATGTTCGAATGGGATTGTAAGTATGACCGTGAACGTGAAGTGTATGTGGGAGCACTAGTGAGATGAGGTTGCCTGCGAGCCGGCCGAGTACCTTGGGCTGGAAGGCGGGCTGCGGCGGCGGCTGCAGCGCGGCGGGCGACAGCGACCGCGTCAGCGCGTCCGTCTGCTGTATGTTGAACGCGATCTCCTGCTCCAGCATCTGCCGTTTCAGCTGCAACAAGCATATGGTTGCAGACATCAGATACAAATCCATTCATGGAATCGTCAATGTAAGTGAGTCCATGAGACGGAATGAGACAGCAGACGTTGTCGTCTCATTGTGTATCATGAACTCGTTAACGATGACGATTCCATCGACGGATTCGCTTCCCGTTGCCCGCATGCTCGTTTGCCCCGTGTGCCCAGCGCAGGGGGCAAACGAGCATTAGGCTCACCTGATGGTAAGTGACTACCGCCGCTCATGATCACCCACAACACCAGCGGCATTGCAGGTGTGCTGCCGGTCTTTTAAAAAGGAATATGCTCTTTTCTTGAAGGTTATGATGTCGTATCGGTTAAGAAATACTGCTGCTGGAAGTTGGTCTGACTGCACGCCTCAGATATATATATATATTGTACATGAATAAGTTATCAACAGTGACATACCTGTTCAGTCTCCATGCGCCACTTGGCCAGTTCTTTCAGTATGTCCTGTTTCTCCACCATGAGCTCGTCGGCGTACTTCCTCGTTTTCTCCAACTCCTGCGTTAGTGCGTTCTTCTCATCGAGCGCGTGCATACGCTCTTTTAGGTGCACTTGTAATCTGAAATAATATTATTTTTTTATAGTTTTAACATTCATTACCAGGGGAGTAAAAAATCTGTATTCATTTTGCATAACCGGCTGAGTTTAACAAGTCATTTGTGCTGATAATTTTGCATAACCGGCTGAGTTTCAGATGTAATTTGTGCTGATCATTTTGTATAACCGGCTGAGTTGAACAGGTTATCAGTGCTGATAATTTTGCATAACCGGCTGTGTTTAACAGGTAATTTGTGCTGATCATTTTGTATAACCGGCTGAGTTGAACAGGTTATCAGTGCTGTTCATTTTGCATAACCGGCTGTGTTTAACATGTCATTTGTACTGATCATTTTGCATAACCGGCTGTGTTTAACAGGTAATTTGTGCTGATCATTTTGTATAACCGGCTGAGTTGAACAGGTTATCAGTGCTGTTCATTTTGCATAACCGGCTGTGTTTAACATGTCATTTATGCTGATCATTTTGCATAACCGGCTGTGTTTAACATGTCATTTGTGCTGATCATTTTGCATAACCGGCTGTGTTTAACATGTCATTTGTGCTGATCATTTTGCATAACCGTCTGTGTTTAACATGTCATTTGTGCTGATCATTTTGTATAACCGGCTGTGTTTAACAGGTTATCAGTGCTGTTCATTTTGCATAACCGGCTGTGTTTAACAGGTAATTTATGCTGATCATTTTGTATAACCGGCTGAGTTTAACAGGTTATTAGTGCTGGTCAATTTTGCATAACCGGCTGAATTTAACAAGTCATTTATGTTAACGTGAATAACAATAATATATACTTTTAAGATCCTTAAAATAAGGTTTATTTTTATATTTCTTTTTTTTTGTTGTCTCCAGAGCATTCTCATATAACAAAAGAAATGAGATGAAAAAATAAACTTTATTTCAATGATTTTATAACTTAATGTTAAACGTAATTAAATTCTGCACTACTCTGTTTGATTGGTTCCTAGTGGAACTGGAGAGTATCTTTACAAACTTTTACATGTGACAAATATAAGAAAATTGTAAATAAAAGATATTTTTACAGGATATATTTAAGAAAATAATTATATAAGGGAAGGGGATTTACAGAAAAATTTACGGCGCATTACATAAGGAAGAGTGAAGGTTAATCTTAAAAAAATTACGTTACGCAATACTTGAACGTCCCCAAAATTCTATAAAAATAAAATAAATACAGAAAAGATTTGATTTTTTTGTATGTTTGTTTGTAATAGATAAACTATCCACACTTTCACCCCATTACTAACAATCCATTTCCGCCCAGTGACATGGGCTATCTGAAAGCGCCAGTGTGGGGGAAGGGATTTTTAATTATGGGGAGATTAGTCCCCATTGCTATCAATATACTCACTTTCACGACCACGTCGACCTCCACGCGGTTCCCCCTGGAAACTATCGTGACTAATTTATCGTTGAATTTGTCACGATGGGCTAACTGACCTGCCTTTTCATCCTCACCAATCACCTCTTACTTGTACCCCGTCAATGTATTCCGCAGGCGAAGTAACCATGTCATTTTCACCCACTAAAAAAAAACAAAACGCGCCAGTGTATACCTGTCGTTGGACTCGGAGAGCAGCTTGTCGACGGTGGCGGAGAGCCGCGTGTTGTGCTCCTCGTTCATGCGCAGGCGCTGGTTGAGCCGCATGAGCTCGGCGTTCTTCTCCTCCACGCTGGCCTCGAGCCGCTGGATGCGGTCCTCCGCCGACCCGTGCCGCTCCTGCGCCTGCCACCGACGACCACTAACGTCACCACTGCGCTCACATTCGCTCGCTCGCTCGACACACGTTACGTACCGTTCACATTGCAAAATTATACAAGTTTAATGATTTTATCTCTGCATTGCTTTTAGTCTCTCTAGCTCTGTACCTCTATCCCATTCGTGTTTCAACCGTGAAGCAGTTGTATTTGCATGACTGTGTATCGGTTTGAAGGGTAGAATATGGCGTGAATTTACTGGGTACAGAGGAATAACACCTGAGTCCTAGGCGACGGTTACCATTTTCCATCAAGTGGACCGTCAGCTTGCTTGCCATTCTAAGTTGTATTAAAAAAAGTCAGCCAAACGTCAAATTGGCTGACACGTATATATATTTTTTTAATTAAAACAAACACACTTTAATTAATAACATACAAAAAAAAAAGAATGGTCAATATTATTATTTAAAAGTGTAATAATTTAATTTAATAATTCAATAGTTTATATTTGGTTTGATATTGTTAAAATTTGTTGGCTCTGGTTGCCTTTAATAAAAAAAAATATATATTATTTTTTATAATTAATTTCAGTGTTGCAAGCTATTAAATAAAAAAATTCCCAGATCAAGTAGATTTTTTAAATTAGAATTGGAAACATTTTTTCTGATATAATGTATAAATATACAAATGTACATATTAAACAATATATTTGGTGAGATATATCAATGAATTTACAGGGTACAGAGGAATAACACCTTAATCATCAAGGATGGCAACGCATAAGAGGTTTTATGGGCGTAACAGTATACTCTGTTATGTCCACGGTACTGCTCATGTCTATAGGCGACGGTTACCACTTTCCATCAGGTGGGCCGTCAGCTTGTTTGCCATTCTAAGTTGTATAAAAAATGACTACTGAGGAAAATAGTTTTCCGATGAGCATAAATTTAAGAACAACTACAACTTAAACTACTTATGTTTAGATAAGCATAGGATTTCTAAGAGGAATTCTACGGCAAACAACAATAGGAGGACACCCAATCTGCATAGTTGGTCTGAGGCTTACAACTGTACTTAATCAACCGACTTCAAAAAAAGGAGGCGCTTATCGAATTAACTATATTTTTTTACACTTGTTACCTCAGAACTCCGTAATTTACAAGCCGATTTGGAAAATATTTAATAAAAATGTTAACAAAATCGGTTGAGTGGTTTGGTATTTAAATTTTTTAACATACAAAGAGTTAGATAGTGCTGGGAGGAACATTAAGCGTCTGGGAATCATACCAGCACCACGACACCCATGCTTACTGTGTAAGCATCATCCGGGTCATCCGTTCAAAGGATTCCGTTTTGACAGAGCCGTAGAGGCAAAAATTAACATTAATAATGGGTGGCGAATAAAATTTTCATTGGCGTCAGTAAAACTGTTAAATCGACATTGGGTACCGCTGCGTCCGAGGTTTTTAAACAACTATCAAGTTACTAATACAAACAAAAAACGTCAGCCTTCAGGAATGGCAATCCACGAGGGGTACCGTGGGCATCACAGTGATTTCCGTAGCACTGCTCATGTCTATACACGACATACCACTTTCCATTAGACGGGCCGTCAGCTTATTCGCCGTTGCACGTTAAAAAAACCCAAGCACACAGAGAGATTGGTTAGTGACCTCCAAATTAAGCAGGCACCAAACTGGATGACATGGGAATGGGGAATGGGGGAAGCGTAAGCGTGACCTACGGTGTAATAATATGAAAGATTAGTTACCATTGTACCAACCTGGTTCAGGGCTTCCATCCGGGCCCTGAGCTGCTCCTCCATCTCGGGCAGCGAGGACATCTGCGCCAACTTCTGCGTGGACAGTTCCAACTTCTCTTCGATGGCCGCGATCTTCTCCTCTTGGAGCTGGATAGAATGCGTATATATGAAATGTCATGACTGCGCAGCGAATGATGTCGAATAGTTGGTAGTAAGTGATTCTAATGTTATTAGTATTGAGGTCGATTCTGAAGTGCCATACCTCTAAACCCGTTTCTAAAATTAAAGTTTAACATAGTAGCGAAATTTTTACTTTAAGGATCAATATAAATTAAATTGTCACAAAACGTGTGTGTACTTAATAGCGGTCGGAGTATGATGGTTAATGAAGAAGACTGTAGAACTTTTAATAACAATAGTAGTCAATCTTCGAGTGTTGGCAGTCGCATTAATACTAATGGTAGCGGAATTAAACAAAATAATTCTAAGAAAGAAAGAAATACATATTTTTATGTAAGTCAATTTAGATTTAAGTATTTCTGAAGTCATTTTTTTATTATAGCCCACTAGGAACGTCATTTCAACCAAGAATAACGGGCAAGAAACTCAGCTGTTGCCATTTTCAAAAATGTTTAACTATACAAATAATAAACTTGTATGAATACAAACTACTAGCAAGCATCTGGCCCTCTAGACAAGTGGCAAGCGAATTCGTCGATGGAATCGACATCGGTAGCGAGTCCATGAGATAGAATGAGATAGCAACGTTGGATGTCTCATTCCATTTATTAGAAACAATTATTCGCCCTTCTTGTTATAAACCTTCTTAAAATATCCCGTTTACCATGACCATTAGTGGATTTAAACCGGAGTTAGTTCGCACTTTCACACAACATAAAGACTGATACAGGTGACACATATAACCGGCTGACCTTGAGCTGTGCCTGCTTATGTTGGAGCTCCTGTTCCAGCTTCTCGTTGAGGTCGTGCAGCGAGGTGGACTCGCGCTGCGCGTTCAGATACCGCTTCTCGAGGGTCGCTATCCGCTCCTCCTGCAAATAAATGGAGTTATAATTTAGTGTTTGCACTTCCTGATAGAACTTTACTAAATTGATTAGAAAATATTACTAGCTGTTGTCGTTTGTTGCTGTTGTTGAGTTTGTTGTTGGCCATGTGGTACCGGCATAGAATGGACCACCCCTTCCTTTCCTGTAGGTATCGTAAGAGACGACTAGTCCTTAGTCGCTAGCTTATTGATAGAGGGATGGGCCGCCACGTCACTCTAAAAATCTGTTTGCGGTTGCCAAATCGCCTGCCAAGAGTGGCAACTACTGGCAAATCATTCCTTACGGGAGACGCTTCCGTGCAGCAGTGGACAGTTAAAGGCTGATATGATGATGATGACGATTTAGTTATTAAATCGTTTGTTCTGACAATCAATGCTCAGCCTAAACTAAATTTAGATATAAAACTATATTCAGTACTAGCGGCCCGTCCCGGCGTCGCACAGGTGGACATTTTTAACATTTCCCTTCACTGCTCTGCTCCTATTGATCGTAGCGTGATGAAAAGTATACTATAACCTGCCCAGGAGTATGAAGAATAATTGTACCAAGTTTCGTTAAAATCCGTCGAGTAGTTTTTGTTTGTATAATGAACATACAGACAGACTGACAAAAACTTTACTGATTGCATTTTTGGCATCAGTATCGATCACTAATCACCCGCTGATAGTTATTTTGGAAATATATTTCATGTACAGAATTGACCTCTCTACAGATTTATTATAAGAATAGATTAGTTTATGGTTTATAAGAGACAGGAATTAAATAATCACGTAAAATTCCGTATCTTATAAATCCGATTTGAAATCTGTTCGACGATCCCACCTGATCTTCCTTCTGTGCCACGTTCTCCCTGAGGTCGCGCTGCAGCTTGGCACATTCCTCCTGCTTCTTCACCAGCTCCTTCTCGCCCTTCGCGAGCCGCTCCTCGAGGTCCGACACCTTGTTGTTCAGCTCCGCGACGCGCCGCTGCCACGAGCTCAGTTCTGCTGACTGTGTGACCAAAGATACTGTAACTATACGCACGATACACAACCACGTTTGTTGGAACGCAGTGTGAAGATATAATGTGATTACCATTTGTTTTTATAGTTGGCAAAATTAGTAAATCGATCTTAGTACGTCTTTTTATCAGAATAACGGCGCATAAAAGAAACACTAGGTGACATGTCGTATAGGGAGATTAAGGATATGGCCTTGGATAGAGTTGGCTGGAAGAAGATGCATGAATTAGTTGCACCGACAAGAGGAAACTCTTAAATGAAAAGAAGAACGGCGTTTAAAATATAATTAATAGTCGAAATAAAAAGATTATGGTATAAAATCATTATATATGAGGGAATGGAATCAATAAATTAGTCATTGAAGGTATTTTACTGAACTAGGTGTTATTTTGCGGAAGTCCATACAACTGGTTATTTGATTACAATTATTTTGTTAAATTCCGCTACCGTTAGTATCTGTGCGACTGCCAACTCTCGAAAATTGACCACTATTACTAGCAAAAGTTCCAAAACCATCCATATTAGCTATAAATCTCCGACAGCCACTTTGTTCACGTACGTTTAGCTCGTTTAGAAGTGAAATACGTGTAGCTAATATGAAAGATTGTGGAACTTCTGCTAGTAATAGTGGCGATCAATCTCCGAGTGTTGGCAGTCACACACATACTAACGGTAGCGGAATTAAACAAAATAATTCAAATTAATTAATTAGTGATATGCACTATTTTTAAGGGAGCATCTATAAGTGAAACTGAACTTTTTACTCAAAGACAAAACAAGAGAAAATTACAGCCTGTAATACATACATATGCGCGTCGTATTCTAAAATTATTTATTTTATTTATTTATTAATTTTTAGTACATGTGTACTAAGGCCGATGTAATGTTAAAAGCTTTCTTTCCCAGTCAACATTAGGGAAGTAAGAATTAGTAATGGAGTTTTTTTATATTTTATTTTATTATTTATTAATTAACAAAGCATTTCGTAATTATTTTTTAAATTATTTCATTTAATTCAGTTTCTATTTCTTAAATTGTTGAAATGATGAATTTATACAAAGCAAAAAAGGTTCTTTAGTTTTTTTGAAAAGTTTTTGAAGTGAGCTAGAGACATGCTGTTTAGCTTATTTATAAATATCAAAATTCGATAAAAAGACATGTTAAGACTATTTACTAATTGCCAAGTACAAAAATGTTCTTATACATATATGTATATATATACTACGAGACTCTGTGAGGCTACATAATGACCTGAATATTAGTGGTAATTTGCCAGTGGCATGTTCCTCTATTAACATGGGTGTTAGTGTATGAATGCATGAATGCTGGAATGCTGTTGTTATGTGTTATGCAATTGTAAGCATGCCTTTTAATCTATTTGCTAATCAAATCAAAAATATATCAACATATCGAGGGACTGAATTCAACAAGCTCCCCGACTCTTTATGAGGGTATCTCTCTTCACAAGTGAAATAATAAGTACACATTTGCAATAAAACCTAATATACTAGTACGAACATTATTAAATTCATGTATTAAGACTTAGTAAACTGTCAAACAGGAATGGCAACGCATGGGGGGTATCATGGGCGAAACAGTATACTCTGTTATGTCCATGGTGCTGCTCATGTCTATAGGCGACGGTTACCACTTTCCATCAGGTGGGCCGTCAGCTTGTTTGCCATTCTAAGTTGCATAAAAAAAAAAATATTGAAAAAAAAAAGCATAATAATAAAACATTTGGTGTGAAAAATCAAAAAGGAAGTTATTTCAAAATAGAGTTTTATTTTTTATCATGTTGATATATTTGTGATTATAAAAAAAAATATATATGACGAAGTAAATAGTATGTCATATAACATATATTTTCGTATATATTTATTTGTTTATTTTCATCATATATTTTTTCATATTTAAATTCTAGTTATATAAATATAGCTTATTGTTAATATATAGCCAAGCTTTATGTTAATTTTAAACTTTTGCATTGTTTACACATATTTTAAATAAACAATCTGGACTTAACGCCTTAAAAGCCTTTACAGGTAAACAATACCTACATACCTGCTTCTTTATTGCAGACGTTTCGACGCGTGGTCACGTTACGTTCCGATTGTGTATTTAAAATAAGTTTTAACCCTTCTTTGCATAATGATGGAATATTCCATCATAACATTGAATGCCTAAAACGTATATAAAAGACCAAGTTCACTTTAAGTTGATCGTGTCTGGATACCTTTTTAATGTGCATTGCAGAAAAAAAAAATAGCTGTGAAATTTATTTTTTTAACCATTTTTCCTTTAATTTTGAACATGAATTATATCACTTTTTATTATTTCACCAATAAAAAAATTATGCAAAGAAGGGTTAAATATAATGCACTAGCAACCAACCGATGTGACAGGAGAGGATCTAGCATTATCTAATTAATAAATAACTTATAATTATTTATTGTAGGCATTATATATATATATATATATATATATATATATATATATATATATATATATATATATATATATATATATATATATATATATATATAAAATAGTTTGATATTAAATTACTACTAGCACTTTAAATTGTGTAAATTAGAAAATATATTATACTTAATGTCAACTTTTACAAAAAAAATTGTGGTTAAACCATAAATATAGCTTGTCAACTTAGTTTTTGGCACTTCCAACCGTAAGATAAAACGAACGAACTCGCGGGCGGTAAGATAAAACGAACGCCGTGTATAGAGCGCGAATAGCTCGCATGCTTACGCTTATCATAGATATTACGCTCGCCCGTACGTACGCCAATCATTCCGCAAGAGTGCCGCACATAAAGTTGTCATGCTATAGCTAATTCTTTTTAAATACAAATGTTGCCAGTCTTATAATATACATGATTTTAAAGCAAACAACAAAACTAGTCCTTTACCTGTCTTCGCGTCGGTGGAAAATATTAGCTACAAATAATTTCGTACAATATGTTACAGGACACTTGCACCTACTCAAAACTGACTTGAAAACAAAAAAATAATTCAATGTAAATGCGATAGATGGTGACACGATCGTGCAATGGCCAGACCTCAGTGGCGGGGGCCTGTTTCTGATCGCCTACCGCGGATTTCGTATCGTTTCGTCTCATCTCATTGAAATAGACGAATAGTGGGTAAAAACCGATACATAATTTTAAGAGCAAGCTTTCGTGGTACGGTTTTTTAATGTACGGTGATGGGAAGGGAATTCTATTACCATTTGTAAGTTAAACAGTTGAGTTGTTTAAATATTTCTAAATTATGTAAATTAAACTTATACAGTTTCCATTATCTAGAACTTTAAAAAATGTTTTGGCTGATATTTCAAATACAGTAATATCATCTATTTTGATACTTATTTCATATTTGCATCACGTTTTCTCTGTAAAAACATCGCTGTGTTATAAAATGTAATTTACTTTTTAGTATCAGATTTGCATTATACAAGCCAACCACAAAATCGAAATACAAATACGCAAAAAATATAATCTTATATTTTCAATGCTAAAATATATTTTAAAATACAAACAGACGTGGTTATTTGTTCCACAGCCTTTGCTCGATTCTTTTATAAAAAAAAAAAAAAAAAAACATTAATTTCGCGCCAATATTATTCGTACATTTTTTTAACGCAACGGTACAATTGCTATACAGCTATAAAGCTCCCCATCACAGTACATCACCGTTTGCGAGTTCACAATGCATGAACGTATGGCTGTACCTAGTGTGGCAGTCTAACCTGTTTGGCGATCGTGTTATGGAGCTCTGTGATTCGCTTGCTCGTGTCCGAGTCGCCGTTAACATTATTCTCCTGTGTTCACCATCAAACAAACAAAATTATAACTCGTAGCACTAATTAGAGTCAGCGGCATAGATAAAGAGCTCCTCCTACGATCCCGTAAAGATGGCAGCGGGGAGCTCTTAAACGCTCAGAAACGCTTGCGTTCCTCTACACCACTGATCAAAACAGTCCTAGTGTATCTTGAGGAATATTTAATTTATGCTAGACAATAAATACCATAGATAAAATATGTAATATGTACTTTTTGTCTATGGTAGGCACCTAATACTATGCGGTTGTTTTACTCAATTTTTAGGTTATTTTATATTTTCTGAATAGAGAGAAAAAAAGTAGATGGATCCCACGCGTACAAGATAGTGAAGCAGGGATGACACTATAAACTAACTATATGTGGTGAATAATATAATCAAAGATAGAACTACAGGTTGTTACGCGCCCATAACATGACAATGTTTTTTTTTTCGTTATAACCACGAACAGTGTTGCCAAGTGTAATCGCGGAATCCGCAAACGTTCCTTTCTATAATATCGTTAACTTTGTTATTCCATTATGTATTTCGTATTATATTTATTTATTTATTGAACTTTAATCCGTTTTGATATTGTATATATAATTACAATGTAAAGACGAACTTAATATTAAAAGATTCTTTTTTGAATAAAAAGAAGTAAATATACTAAAAGATCTGTAGGCCATGATAACTATTTATTTATATATATACTATTTTTACAGATAAAACATCTTAATGCAATAGTGTAACTATCTTAATAAATACTTATATTATATTTATATATATTTGTCTCCTAACAATTTATTTATTTAAACGGTATGAATACATTGACGTTTTTCTCTAATATTATAGAGGAATCTTAGTACCCTTCTAAAAAAATACTGCTAATGCGGATGCATTTAAATTAAAACTACACCTGGCAACACTCCTTACAAATGACGTACATTAAACGTCAAATTAATTTGACGTATTGATCGTGTAAGGAGTACTTTACGCTGCAAATTGGAGGCGAACTGGGCAAATTTACCACTACAAGGTTTAGGTGCATTTGAGAGGTATATATTTACAAGCATGCTCGATCGCGTTGAGGGGTTTTCATGTATTTATATGGCATAAAGCGTCAGTAGTGATAAAAAGAAAATTGAGTAAAACAATCCAGACTAGTACTAGCTGGACAAGACAAAACTTAGCAGAATCAACATCCATTCACTAAGCGTTCTAATACAAACATTATTTGGTATTAAATTTTTTATGTTGTCAGTTGTGTAAGTTTCATGAGTAATTCTGTGTAACTGTTTGAATTAATTAACCAATGTCGAATAAAATAGTTTGCCAATTGAAAGATGGACCACCTTAGATTAAGGTTTAGATAAAATTATTAATCTAACGTCTAAAGAAGGAGAAAGTTGTGGTTTTGACAGGAAATTAGTAATAATTGGATTATTATTATTTTTTAATGTAACAAACTAGAAAGAGCCGTATATACTTGGCTTTACGCCGTGCACTGTCTCCGGATATATAACCCAGATGCTTAATTTTTCCAAGAGAAATAATTGTATATCTTTACGGTGAAGGCGAGTGAGTGAAATTTGAATGCGTTCACGCTTTCTAGTTTGTTCTATGTATATGTTACTGTAAAAACACGAAATATATCTCATGATTTTCTAAAAAAAAACCTAAGATTTATCAACATTTCAATATTCAATGTTCTGTGATGTAAACAAAAGTAGGTTAAGATTGTTTTGGTAAAAACAAGAAAACATATTTATTTTTTATAAAATTCTTACATTTACTAACTCATAATATATTCGTCGTATGGTCCTAGCATAGAATGGACCACCCCTTCCTTTCCTGTGAGTGTCGTAAGAGGCGACTAAGGGAACTTAATTGTAGAGAGATGGTTAGCAGCGACCCTCTTAAAACATCGCCAAATTATAACTGCAGTTACCAATCCGCCTGCTTGCAAGCGTGGCGATTATTGATTGGCAAATCCCTTCTTTATGGGGGGAGTCTTACACTCAGCGGTGGACAGTTAACGGCTGATATGATGAATATATATATATATATATATATATATATATATATATATATATATATATATATATCACTGCTTTCTATGGCAACCAGTAATTAAACCATTATTTGCATGAGATAAAAATTTTAATCATAATAGATGTGTTTTTGGACGTTTTTATAAAAATAACATAAGTATGTTACTTAAGATTTTACAATAAACTCAAATTTTACACATATTTTTACAGTAACACATACATATAAAGATTCATTATTAGGTTATATAGATAGAGCATCGAGTCACAAAAACGGGTCAACTTTTTGTTAGCTAATAGTCCAATTAGCTAACTCGTTTTTTTTTATCAGTGTTCTATATACTTACGCATAAAATATACTCTTTATATAATATATAATAAATAAATAGAGTATTTATTCATTAAAAAGATGCAGAATTTATAAGACAAAATAAATATACAAGTTATAAAGGAATCACTCATAACTATTTATCATTCCCTATTCCCTTTGGCTACAACGGAATATCAGTGCTTTGCTCTTTTGAGGGAGAAGCAATAAACTGAGTTGTGGCCATTTTGTAATATTATGGCACACGCACAAAAGGAAAAATTGTACTTGGCTTTACGTATTTTAATGTAATCATTTCTCTTATCTCGCTTTTTATGTATATCTGTGTCTGTTATAATTCGTGTACTGTAAGTAATGCAAATAAATTATCTATCTATCTATCACACAAATTGTATGAAAAATTTGACCCGTTTTTATTTTATTTATTATTTATTGCACAATAAAACTTTGTACAAGTGGCGAGCTTAATGCCATATGGCATTCTCTGCCAGCTAACCATTAGCTAAAAACAGAAAGCTTATGAAGGGCAGAAGGGGAAATGTTTTTCTCGAAGCATTTCTATGGAGACTATCTATATAATCTAAGGATTTATTATACTTCATAAAATTCACACGTTATCAGGAGCTTTTACATCTCTCAATGGTCGGAGCCTCACACCACCTGTCCACCGCAATATCGACTAGTACCTTAGTTTGCTGCTGTTCCCCGTTCTGCTCGGGCGAGCCGCTCGGCACTGTGCCGTTCTCCTTCGGCTTGTCGTCTGGCCCCGACGATTTGTACTGTTGCAACTGTGGACATTGGGGGAAGGGATTGTTAGTAATGCAGCCTACCAGGTTTATTGCTAACAACATACTCTGTAGGGGGAAGGAGTTGTTAGTAATGGGGAGATTAGTCATCTGGAAACCATCATGACTAATTTATCGTTGATTTGGTCACAATGGGCTAACTGACCTGCCTTTTCATCCTCACCAAACATCGCTAATTAGTGCCCCTTCAGTGCATAATGATAGCGCTATCATTATGCCTGCACCTGCGCAGGCGAGATTGCCATTTCATTATCAACCATTAAAAAAATATACTGTGTCAAGTCATTTAAATCGCCTTTTCTAAATTCTGGAACTAAATTGCTGAGCAATATGTTCTCATATTACAAATTTATATTGTATTCACATTAAAGTCTAAATTACGGGCATTTGAACAGAGAGGACGACAGGTCGCATAAATACGCGACAATCGCGCAAATTTCTAGCAAAATTTGTCTGAAAACTTATGTTTCTAGCACGACGATGTTGCATGAAAGATAACGAGTCGGAATTAAATACCCGTATCATCTATTGACACATAACAAAATTTTAAACAAATAAGGTTTTAATTGCGCTGCTTGCAACACAGCGGAACCGCGCTCATGAATATAAGGGCTCCCATTGAGTTCGAAACTAATCGGGCATCCCCGAATTTAAAAAGCGTGCAAAGCAGACATAAATAGTTACAATATAGTATAACTCACAATAGATATAATTAAAATAATATCATAACTTTATAATAAGAGTGATACTCACTTCTTCTTTGGTTAACGCCAATTCTTCTTCTAACGCTGTGTTCCTTTCTAACGCTACTCGTAACCTTTCTCTGACCTGAAATATTATGAAAAAATATAAGCGACAATGACATTGAATTTAATATATATAAATATAATTACATTAATAAATCTATAAAGGAAAATAAAGTATAATTGGCCTTATATGTATTAAATTACAGTAATGTAACGTAAAATATCAAAAATTGCCAATTAAAGCTAATACAAAACATTATCTTTAATTGGCAATTCATCTTTCTATCTATCTATCCGTGCAAAGCCGGACCGGATCGCTAGTATTTTATAATTTAATATCTGTGGGTATTACAGTCAAAGCAGATAATATTGGACTTGGACACACTCACGGCACTTGCCAAGTCAGGCGAGTCTAGACTTAGTAACAGCTTTTGTTTGCGCAATATGCATACAGTTTGAGTGCGCGAGATGCCGCATAATAACACTCATTAAGTAGCAATCTACACTAATATTATAAAGAGAAAAGATTTGCATTTTTGTGTATATGTACGTTTGTAATGAAAACTCAAAAACTACTTTGCCGATTTCAAAAATTCTTTCACCAATAGAAAGCTACATTCACCCTGAGTAACATAGGCTATATTTATTGCTAGAAAAGATTAGATGTCCTTACTAAAACTTTAGTAACGTAACTCAAGGTGCTAAAAAAATGCTATAAAACATCTTTCGTCACGTGCGCTGCGGAAACTATTGGTGATAGAACAAAAGCATGTTCTACAATATCGTAGAAAATATCAATAACTACAAAAAACTTCGCATTTTTTTATATCCAACTATTATCGTTATGTCACAATAACCACTTTTTAAAATGTCCACCCGTGCGAAGCCGGGACGGGCCGCTAGTTATTCATAAAGTCGTGTGCAATAAAGATTAAGACTTTACAATACATAGATGTCGGGGGAAAGGGATTGTTCGTAATGGGGAGGTTAGTCCCCGTTGCTATCAATATACCCTATCAGGTCGATCACCACGCGGTTCCCCCTGGAAACTATCGTGACTAATTTATCTTTGAATTCGTCACGATAGGCTAACTGATCTGCCTTATCATCCTCACCTATCACCTCTCACTGGTCGCCCGCCAGTGTATACAGATAGCTCAGGCGGGGTTACCATGCCATTTTCACCGATTAAAAAAATACATACATGTTTATCACGCCTGTCTCCCATTAGGGTAGGCAGAAACAATGGAACGCCAAATGATTCAATAGACGGTAATAAGTCCGTACAATATATACATGATATTAGATAAATAATTGGTATAACACAAAAACAGCTAAAACTTTGTAAATTTACAGGAAAAACTTTAAAAACTTCTTTTTTATACTACGTGCACAAAACAACTATGACATAAAAACATCAGATAATAAAGCTAAAACAACATGGAAAATTATTAACAATTCTAAATTCAATATACCTAAAGATTTTATCCGGACAATCAAAATAAACAATGAATACGTTAGTAACCCTAAAAATATAGCAAATCATTTCAACAATTACTTTATCGACAGAATTAATCGTACGACTAACTGTGGAAAAAATATAACTGCAAAGCTCCATCATAGAACACATTCTATGTTTATGGCCCCAAGTACACCCCAAGATATAAAAAAAATCATAAGAAACTTAAAAAATACAAACAGTGTTGGATATGATGGTTTTTTAACTAAAATTATTAAAGAGGTAAATGAACATATATGCGCTCATTTAAGCTATATTATAAATTTAAGTATACAGACAGGCATTTTCCCCCAGCAACTAAAAAAGACCATAGTTAAACCTCTTTACAAAAGGGATGATAAAGAGGTAATGGAATCTTATAGACCCATAGCACTGATATCTATATTTTCAAAAATATTTGAAAAATACCTATATACTGAAATGAATGCCTACTTAGAGAAAAATAACATTATCTGTAATGAACAAAAGGGTTTTCGAAAAAATAAAACTATAAATATGGCGATTTATGATTTTTTGGAAAAAGTTATGTCCGAAATTGATAAAACCTCACCTGTTTGTTCTATATATTGCGATATGACACAAGCATTTGATCATGTAGACCACAGCATCCTAATACGTAAACTCGAGGCATATGGGATAAGGGGTAATATCCTTAATTTGATAAAATCATATTTATCAGGTCGACAACAAATTACAGAAGTGACAAGATTAAATTGGAAAACAAAAAAGCAACAAAAGTTTATATCAAAACAGCGCACTGTAACATTTGGTGTACCCCAAGGTAGTGTGCTGGGTCCCCTTCTTTTCCTAATATATATTAATGACTTGCCTAACTTTGTTGACCAACCTATGATGTTATTCGCTGACGATAGTACAGTTACTGTAAATTGTAATGATATTAATTTATATGAATATATTATAAATAAATCTCTGACATCAATAATTGCTTGGTTAAAAAATAATAATTTGGTAATTAATTTAAAAAAGACTAATATTATGCACTTTAATCAAAGAACACAATCTAAATCTAATATTAAAATAATATATGAAAATAATATTATAAATGAAGTTGATACGGCTAAATTTCTCGGTCTAAATATTGACAAAAAACTAAACTGGAAAACTCATATAGACGAAATAAACAAAAAAATATCTAGCCTGGCATATCTACTCTACAAGCTGTCTAGGACCGTAAACAATAACGTGCTACTTACAGCTTATCATGGTTTAGTAGAATCGATATTAAGATATGGCATTATTTTCTGGGGTAATTCAACAAATAAAGATATGGCTTTTAAGATGCAAAAAAGATGTATAAGATCCATGTTTGGATTGAATGTCACAGATAGCTGTAAGCCATTATTTACTAAACATAATATCCTCACTCTTCCGTCCTTATATATATTTGAAATGGCCTTATTTGTGAAGTTAAATCCAATCTTATTTCCACGTCTATCTGATAAAAATTATCGAAATAGACGTAATAAAAATCTATTATGTATACATCCAGCCAAAACCACTTTATTGCAAAAAAGCATTATATGTATGGCCCCAAAAATTTATAATAAAATTCCAGATGTATATAAAAATTTAAACACAAACTTATTCCGGAAAAAACTGAAAATGCTACTGATTGACAAATGTTATTATAATATTGACGGATTTTTAAATGACAACCTTTAATATGTTTCTCTTTCGACATTTGCTATTGACATTGTAATTCCATTTGACTTTTTATTTAGTTTATATCTAATCTTCACAAAATATTAATATGTTTTGTAAGGCATGGATAGATAGGGGGCATGGATTTGCTTTGTAAGGCACTTGAAATTGCCACTGTCCTTGAAATAATATTTTGCACGCTAATGTTAGCAAAACATGTTAGGACTATACAAATCCTACAATGAACAACAAGTATGTCTTTGCACTTACTATGTACACATGTTTGCAAATAAATTTATCTTTATCTTTATCTTTATCTTTATCTTACTACTAGTCGTCTCGGTAAACGTTGGTTTACCATATACATTATTTCTAGAACTATACATGAAAATATATTGTACTACAATTATTATATTCGATTGTCATCTTGCAAACCTATTGCGGCATATAAAAATTGCGATTAAACAGGGGTTGGTCGTAAAAGCGTGAAAATTTGAATTGGTATGTATTTTTCAGTGCTAAATCATAATAAAATAAAAATAAAAATAAATTGGCAAAAATATAAAAAAAATATTATATAGGGTGGGTCGCCCCTATCATTGAGGGGTTTGAAAAATAGATGTTGGCCGATTCTCAGACCTACCCAATATACGCACAAAATTTCATAAAAATCGGTAAAGCCGTTTCGGAGGAGTTTGGTAACAAACACCGCGACACGAGAATTTTATATATTAGATGGTAGAAAACAAGCATACGGTTCGCGTGCTGGTAAATGGGGTTTTCAATGTTGAAGTTCTCTCTCTCTCTCTTTCACTCTTTCTTTCTCTCTCAAATTGAAATAGCATTACATGAGAAAAAAGAAACATATTAGGGTTACCTTCTCGTCGAGTGCCTTGTGGTGCTCGAAGAGGCTCTTCAGCGCCTTGAGCACCTCCACCTCGGAGGAGACGCCCGACTGCGCGGCCGCCTGCCGCTTCACCACCGTCATGCGCAGCGAGCGCTCGTGCCGCGACACCAGGCATTCTAAGTGCTCTAGTAGTAACTGCAACCGACATTACATATTGTTACAACCATTCATATACATTTATAAAGCATTCACACACCTAAGCTTGACTAAGTGTTGCAATGCCACAATTATCTGTCAATTTACAGAAATAATCGAAGAATTTTCAATATTATGAACTGATTATTTAAAAGGCAATATTATCTTTAACTAAAAGAAGAAAAATAAAAGAATTACTGTATCTAGAAATCGAAAAAGGAATGTTGCGTTGGTTTGGTCATTTGGAGAGGATGGATGAAAGAAGAATTACGAAAGAGATTTATCGAGCAAGAATGAATGGAGATGTCGGTAGGGGCCGCCCTAGACGGACGTATGTTGACCAAATAGGCGACGTGCTGAAGAAGGGCCAAATTAAAAGTACCCGTAACCGACGAGCATGTATGACAAGATTGATGAATGTGGAAGAAGCAAAAGAGGTCTGTTTGAATCGAAGCATTTGGGGTTCCATTGTTTCTGCCTACCCTAATGGGAGACAGGCGTGACAGATATGTATGTATGTACTGTATCTATATCAGATTGTAAACTAAATTGTGGATTGTCCCCAACTTTTAGAATTAATTAATATTTATACGAATGGCCGAATTCGTCATCAACGCACTTTTACTGTGCCTCTTTATAGAAATAATATTTCTTTAAATAGGTTATTTAAAGAAACATTATTTAAATAACCCATTTAAAGAAATATTATTTGACAGCTAAATAATATTGCAATATTGCTTGGGACAGAGGTACCCAAGCAAACGACTTTTGTATAAAGTCTCCCTCTGGTAATGATGGCAATGATGAGTAGCATACGAGTGACTCAAAACATTTTGTCGCTTTACAAAAAAATCTGTTACAATATGTTTTATAACAGGGGCGGCTTCTTAATTTTACGCACCGCTAACGAAGCCCATTTTTCTCTGTAGTGTAGTGTAATCTACTATTTGTATAACGGATTGTATTCTGAGAAATAGTAAGAAACATCTTACAGTCATCTTAGTCGGTCGCGCCATCGACAAGAATTTTTAAATAATGTGTAATAAACATATATAATATAATAAAATAAAGAAATAATATATTTATTTATTTTATTTATTTATTCTTTATTGTACACAAAAAATTACAACATATAATATATATAAAATAAAGATGTACAACAGTCGAGCTTAACTCTGTAAGAGTTCTCTTCCAGCAAACCCTGTGTGGAAAGGAGCATTATTTACTAGCGGGCAGTATGCGTACAATAATAGAAGGAAACATTATAGATGTTTCTATTAAAAAATAATAAATATGTTGAAAAAAATGTAATGATTCGCGACGACGACGATGGGCGACGACCACGCGATTAAGCTAGTTCCAAAAATATTTTCAAAAGCTAAATACACACATTTCCGTCGTCACTGTACATTTCCCGTTATATCTTGGAGAACAATTAAGAACGTACCCTGGTATTGTTCCTTTCCGCCTTGAGTTCCGATATCTCCTCCTCTCGTTCTAACAGTTGTTCTCGCGCCTGGTTGAGCTCCTTTGTGAGGGTCGCGAACTCCTGTAGCAATAAAAAATGCGTATATTAGTCAAAAAAAAAAATTACAGCCTTAATTGAATGACGTATTGACGAATTCGTACTAAGAAATTTAATTAAATAACCATATTAATAGAGACCTGAAAAAACCAAATTTACGGTAACTTGTATGCATTAAAATTCATTATTTTATATTATTAAAGTGACGTTCAAATAAAATTCGCTCAAATTTAAATCGATTTTTTTATACCACGAAGGTGACAAATATGACAGTATTATAAGTAGCCCGTCTGAATAATCAGATGGTAAACGGTCACTGTAGCCCATGGGTACTCACAACATTGCTATCAAAATTTGGCATTATTATTCTGTCAATTTCTATAGGTCAGATGCACGAACGAAACCGCAGGTAAAAACTAGTGAATAAAAGACAAAAGACAGGTTGGCAAAAAGGTCACCCTTTGACAAGTGACACGAATCGAAAGAGTTTAAAGAGGAGTGCTAGCTAGCTAGCTGGTGCTTTTAGTGGCTTTAAACTGGCGTCGCTTGGGAAATCTCAAAAGGGGACATTCGTAACCAACGCCACGACACGCTGTTTTCCTCTTTCCATCCATTACTCTAGTTGAAACTTTATTAAATATTTTACTAAACTTGGTATTATTTTTTAGAAGTATATATCACTGTTTAGCTGATTTGAATGATTTTGTTTAATTCTGCTACCATTAGTATGTGTGTCACTGTCAACACTCGAAGATTGATTACTATTATTATTACTAGAAGTTCTACAACGTTCCATATTAGACATCAATTACCGATCGCCATTTAGTCCACGCACGTTTTGCGACACGTGTTTGACCTCTAAACCAGGCATCTTTAGGCAAATTAATAGATCGCTGCTCGGAGCCTAATGTTAACCGTTTGGCGCCCAAACTTGCGTCTCAAATAAAAAAATAGATTCAATTCGATTCGATAAAACAAGAAAGCTCAATGTGGCCGTCTCATCTATATATGTATCGTCAATGTACCCATTCTAGCAGATAGACTGTACGTAGGTACACAAGACTGCAAAATTATTCATAGATTTTGAATGTCAAGATGTTACCAGACAGATAAGGACAGTCATTATTCAAATACACTTTGTTTAGATACGAGAACATTTAAATCGTTCCATTTTTTTCAGTTAGAATTACTTGTTCTTCATCAAGAAAAAATCTGCAAGAAATTTTACACAACCGTTTCACAAAGAAAATTGAAGTTTATCTTAAATAGTTCATTAATTATTCCTGTATACTTCTAAATAAAAAAAATTAAAAAAAATAAACATTAAGAGAGATCGAAAAAAACCGACTTTAGTTGCGGCAAAACTCAGTTATTTTGATTTAAAATTTTAAAATCCTGAACTGATTTTGGTAAAATTTCTATTTGATCAATCAGTAAGAATATTATTTCAGATAAAAATAAATAATTTTCCAGACCGGTTAACAACTGAGGAAGTTATAAAGTAACAAATAATAAAATCGCTGTGTCGGTTCCGGCATAGAATGGGCCATCCCTTTTTTTCCCGTGGATGTCAAAAGAGACCACTAAGAGAAGGCGAGTTATGGGCAACCAGAGGGAGACTTTGTGTTTCGGTTTAAAGGGTGAGATATAGCGTGAATTTACAGGGTACAGAGGAATAACACCTGAGTCCTCAGGAATGGCAACGCATGGGGGGTATCATGTGCGAAACAGTATACTCTGTTATGTCTATGGTACTGCTCATGTCTAAAGGCGACGGTTACCACTTTCCATCAGGTGGGCCGTCAGCTTGTTTGCCATTCTAAGTTGTATACAAAAAAAAATCCAAACCGTGGAGGGTAGGGGGTCAAAATATTTTTACAAAATAAGCTTGAAAAACACTGCCCTAGTCCAATCCAAATGATCATAATAAATGGTGATCTAACAACGCTATAACATATAACTGCCAATACAATATATTGGCGAACCGCGGCGGGGAGTAGTCTGTTGACAACCCGTCACGCCCCCTACCGGGACTGAATTGTTCAGGAATTGAAGAATTAGGCTAATGAATAGTGACTATTTATTTGTTAGCTTTTATTTACACGTCCTAGTTAAGTATGTACCTATCTTATGTTTATAGTCTAAAGTACAAAGCCCAAAGTTTACTATTGATTCCTACACTAGGCTGAGCCTGTCCTGTAGAAAACAAGAATCGTGTTGTCAAATATAAACTCTTTATCAGAGGGAGACTTTGTACAAAAGTCGTTTACTTGGGCACCTCTGTCTCATTCATATTTCAACCGTGAATAATATCAATATCAATATATATATATATATATATATATATATATATATATACGCATTATTATAGCACACAAATCACAACAGACATAGATAGACATACACAAAAAGCGAGATAAAAAATACATATACAAAAAAATCATTAAAGAGTAAAATAATTTTTCCTTTCGTTTGCTATAACAACACAAAATTAAATATGGTATATTTTTAAAAAGGGTTTACTGAGACTTCAGGGTCGGTAGGCAACGCGCACGTCACACCCCTAGTGTTGCAAGCGTCCACAGGCTACAGTGACCGTTTACCAACAGACGGGCTGCATGCTTGTTCGTTATCTTCGTGATATAAAAAAATATATATATTCTTTTTTTTAATGTTTCATTTCATATTTTCTTTATTAGCCATGTAAATACTCCATTACATTTTTGGCACGTCATGTGTTACATTACAAATATAAACAACAAGTTTGTTGTTTATATTTGTAATGTAAACAACAAACTTGTAAACAGACAATACTAGTACTAAATTGCGGCATTTCCAAAGTCAATATATGACATAAATTGCGTAACATCACTTGGAATAATGAACAAGCTGATGGCCCGTTTGATGGAAAGCGATAACCGTCGCCTGTACACATTAACAGCACCATGGACCAGCATTCATGAATACAACAGAGTTATGGCTTGATAAACAGTGATTTTACAGCAATAATCCCATATTTATTGTGATCTAATAGAGTTTTGTCGTGCAAATATGACAATCCGAGTGCTTCAAACTATGTATTGACAATGAACAAGTATAATTTGAAATGTTGAGATAAAAAAAAAGGATCTGAGACAATAAGTTACGAGGTGAGTGAGACTCAGCGAAACTTTTTGAAGAATTTGAAGTAAGCAAAACGGCAATAAACAGCGAAAATGTTAATTTAACCTCAAAACATGTTTTCGAAGATCCAAAACATCATTATGAAAATATCTTTGATAATGAAGCTTAGTGGTTACCCATAAATAAATTACCGCAAAGGTCACGGCGTAAGCTCGAGCATCTAACTACATCCAACAATTTGGCATCTTATCCCGATTACTATAAAGTTGGGAATTATTCACAATCCCGTGTAGATATCCCGTAATCATTAGTCAGTGGACCGCAGTTGAACATCGCGGACCAACGTGACGGCCACAGCCTCGTGTGGAGGGTTAGCATTGGAATTTCATTACAAAGCCTCTCGACCACGTATGGTATCTATTAATTAAATATTTACAGGCACTACCGTCATTTGAGACCATGACCTATATGTTGTGGCGGCGTGAGGATTCGATATGTCATTATAGTTTTTCACACCAATGCTAATGACTAGGAACAATGCAAGTAAAGGAAAATAAAAAAAAAAAAACTTCTTTTTTATGTGAAATAGAGTAAAAAATGCATTGGGAGTGAATAGTTAGTGATCATAGCAGTCCATATTAGTAACACCAGAAAAGACGCCAAAGTGCTGTCGGCCTTTTAAGAAAGAATTTGCTTAGATGCTAAGATAAGGAACAAAGCTAAGATGCGTCCTACGAGTATATCGAGAGATTAGTGACCAGTATTAGAACAAATATTGGGTTCTAACAATTCTACAACATAGATATTTTTAACTTCCAACGCAAAAAGAAATATCTGTGTTTGTCTACAAATCTGTCTATAACACTGTACTATCTCCAAATTTTATTTGAGTTTTTAACTATCTACAATAAGTAACGATCCATTAGAGTTCCACTACTACGTACGGATCAGTTAAGATTACGATCTTGCAAAAGGACATTTTTTTTTATACAACTTAGAATGGCAAACAAGCTGACGGCCCACCTGATGGAAAGTGATAACCGTCGCCTATAGATATGAGCAGTACCATGAGTATACTGTTTCGCCCATGATACCCCCCATGCGTTGCCATTCCTGAGGACTCAGGTGTTATTCCTCTGTACCTAGTAAATTCACGCTATATCGCACCACGCTTCAAACCGAAACATAATTATTATGCTGCGAATCTGTTATATTTTTCTTTTAAAGATTTTTAATTGTCACTTATATAAATACTAGTTATTCAAATTCTATTAAACGAAAGGTGTATAGTTATACTAGAAGGTATCTTTATATTGACTTAGCAATCAATCTTCTGTAAGCGGTTACGCATTCGCGAAAATATATCTAAGACATGTTTATCCGACCCATATCACGACGACCTTCCCCACTTTCCATTACAAGTGTCCAGAGCAGTATTAGTTCTTCTATTATCTTACAGGTCCGCCGTATGACACTAGCGGAACGTTTCCATTGTATCAATCTTTACAGAATCAATCTATCGTTTATTTGACAGTGACCCACATCGCAACAAGATTAAGATGAAGCTTTCATCTTTCTGGCTTTCAATTGTCGTCCATTACACTGACAATGATTTCTCATCAATATTTTTTATCCATATATATTGAGTCATTCATTTCAAGCGTTAATTATCTAGGTACTGTTAAAAATAGACCCTCCATAGATGGTTCTGAGCTAAGGACCAGTTGTAAGCTACCTAAATCCGACTCGAGAACCTTATTCTCGCTTGCTTGTCGATTTTTCAAACTATGTGATCAGCCTATCGCTTCAGATCGTTTATTCTCCGTTTTCTTTCCTTTTATATATATATATATATATATATATATATATATATATATATATATATATATATATATATATTT